AAGTACTATACGGTCATTTAAAAGTGGTTTTCTCTTGATCTTTTGAAGCAATAAGAATTTAATTGTAGCTCGAGTACATATCAAGAAAATAATAGAAAGCACGGCCGACCAATCAATCAAGAATTTGATCTATAAATGAAAGAGTAAAGTGATCCTTTCTTCTGACTTGTTGAGCTTACGATAATCCATACAAAATCTTCAACCAGTGACCGTTCTTGTATGAATCAACTCATTCTTCTCATTTGTAACAACCTCATGCCTATCCTTCTTAGGGACACATTAAACTGGATAGGTCCATGAACTATCAAAAATGTGGTAGACAACCCCGATATCCAACTACTTGATAATCTTCTTTTTGACCAACTCTTTCATAGCTTTATTAAGTCTTCTTCGATGTTCAATGGATGGTTTATAACCATCCTCCAACTTGATTATTTGTACAAAATCTGGTGCTTATACCTTGGATGTTAGAATTCCCCCTCTTTTTCAACATCGTCATTCTTTTCCATTCCTTTGCAAAATGCGGGGTTTATACCTCATATTACGGATTGCTGTGGTATGATAGGCAAGTTGGGCATCTGAAATCGCATTCTTTTCCATCATTTTGTTGAACATGTTCTCAATACGGCCTATTTTATTATTTGAATAACTTGAACCATAGGAAGGATAAGGAGGTGGGTTGCTTAGTTTTTGGAGCCTTTGAAAATTCGATCCTCAATTTCCATGACTATTATTGTTTCCCCAATTTCCTTGATTATTTCCTCCATGATCTACTTGGTTGTTGTTGTTATTGGTCAATTCCCTTCATTGTTAGGACCCAATGGCCTTGATTATTTTGAGAACTCCATTTATATTGATTGAAGCCTTGAAAATTTCTCCTTTGACCTTGGTACTTGTTCACAAATTATACCTCTTCTTCTTACTCTTGATAAGAATCATCTTGGTCAAAACTACCATCATCTTATTCATAATTCTCCACTCGGATTGAAATTGTGGACCATTGATCTTCTTCTTGCTGACCATGACATTCACCCATTTCATAGCATGAACTTGCTTAGGAGCTTATACTTGATAAAGTTGGGCTTTAGCAAGTTGAGTCATGGTTGTGTACAATTTGGCAATAGCTTTCCCGTGGTGTTGTAACTCTTTATGAAGATGAATCATGTTTGATAGGTTACAAGTACTTTGGTCATAAGTACTTTACTTTATGTTTTGACGATCTACCAAACTTACTATCCAGAACTACTAAGGAACCTTTTACACATTTACGAGATCTTAAGATCACAAGGTTCAAGGTTAGGATTCAGCGCGGAATATGATTCAACTCTTCAAACTGGAAGGAATTGCTGAGGGAATAGGTCTCTACCAGTTCCCAAGGAAACTGTACGAAGTCGGCTCTCCAGCTGGAAAGTTGCTTCCTGCATACGCTACAGTGCAGGAACAATGCTACAGTCAACTTTTCAGGGAAGAATTTCTACCTACTTTGTTAACATCATTGTAAGTGATGTCACTCATGTATACATACAATCAAGGAAGGTAAAACACATATACTTGAACACTTAGAGATTTTTTATTCAAGCTCACTCACGTGACCATCTAGCTAGCAAGTTTCAAGTGCTTCAAGAACAAAGAACAAAGCAAGTAAGAACCAATTCCCACATCTAGTAATTGTATGTCATAAGTTGAGTTGTAACTTTGTAATAGTTCTTCAATTGTAATTTAGCTTATTTAGAAGTATTCTGTAGGAAACTCTTTGTAAACCATAAACCTATATGTTTGAGTCTTGGCTAAAGTTAGTCATATTGTAACGTCTTTGTAATAGAGTTACTACAAAGATGCTTGTAATAGAGTATTACAAGTTAGTGAGGGATTAAGAGGTTAATTCCTAGGTTGCATAAGTTGTAATCTAAAAGGTTGCTCAGTAGTGAAGTTGAAATCCTGCAAGGGTAGGTCACGGTTTTTAATCCCGTTGAGCTGGAAATTTTTCACATAAAATTCCTCATGTCATTTATTTATTGTCGTGTGTGTGTGTACTGTTGAATCTAATAGAGAACCTGGTTCTCTAAAGAGTTTGGTGGACCCTTATATTCTATCAATTGATATTAGAGCAGGTTCTTTCTATCATGTTAACATCTAGAAAGGATCTTTATGGCTGCTCCTCTAAACTTCGAAGAATGCTAGTCTACTTACAGACTTCGAAGATTCAACGGGCAATATTATGGATGGTGGAAAAAAGGATGCACGACTTCATCATGGCTGAGAATTCTGAGCTATGGGATGTTATATGTGATGGACCCTTTGTCCCTACCCAGAACCTTAGCGAATTAGGTGTAGTCATTCCCAAGACCAAGAAGGAATTCAATGACGCTGATAGAAAGTCCATAGAGATCTGGGAAAACAACAGGATATCAACATGTCAATCAGGAAAAGAGATCTGGGAGGCTTTTCAGACAGCTCACAAGGGAACAACTCAGGTGATGCAATCCAAGATTGAGAAATCAGAAAGTATTGTGGGGCCGCACATTTGCCTCTGACATTCTAGAACTTGCTGGGATGGGACAATTAGTAAACATTTGTGATTCTCAATAATGGACCAATCTCTTTAGAAATTAGGTTACCAAAGTTTACGAAAAGGAGGTACGAAGTTTCCATACTAGCATCTTCACAGTAAAGGGTGATCAAATCTCTGTGTTGATAAATAGGGTGGACATAGTAATAGAATCTGCCTTATTGGTGTTAATTCTTGGTGTTCCTGCCGAACGAATATCGTCTGCTCAGGGTGCCTGCACATCAAACTTCAGAAATGCCATTGTCAAGGGCAAGGCAATACAACATGGGGAACAGATGCATAAGAAGGCACTCATTCCAGTATATCAGTTGCTTTTTTAGATGGTTAACAAAGTATTGATTCCATGTGCTGAGAAAAGATATGTTGCATCCAAAGCTCTCTTGTTCGTTACGGAAGCCTTGGATAATTTTACCTCCATCAATTTTCCTGCCATAATGATTGAGCATATGCAAAAGATAGAAAACCTTATGGATGGAAATCCTGGACTACTTTATGATTTTCTTCTTACAAAGGTCTTTGAGTTCTTCAAAGTACCTCTGGAACATGCCAAAGTAGGCACTAAAAAGTAATCCTTTTTAAAAACTACTCTTGAGGAGTGTTAGTGCATTGTCAAGGTCGGAGGAGTTGGAAGCACTTCCATTACCGCTCAACTGATAAATGCTCAAAACAGTGCCATAGAGGAGATCTGGAAGTTGAAGGCTAGGAATGCAATTCTTGAGAGTCAGGTCAGTCAGTTACAAGAGGCACATAGTTCTAGTAGTTCTCATAGCTCAGAAGTTGCACGCCTAACAAAGGAGAATGTTGAACTCTGGAAACCGGTGGTGGACCTGAAAGAAAGACTGCTCAATGAGCAAATATCCGGGAATGCTCGCATGGATATTTTTCACCAAACCCTTGCTGCCTCTTCCAAACCCCTTTCCTCCAGTGTTCCCTAAAGGACGTCCCCTCAGTGTCCATTTTCCAGAGTCTATCTTATTAGTTGTTTTTGGTGATGTTTCTCTTGGTTCTTATAATTGATTTTGTTTATTTTAAACTATTGATGATAATAATGATTTTGCACCCACCTTTATAAGTCCAAATTTGATTATTGGATCTGGTTTCCTTTTGTTGATTATGCTGCTGCTTTTTTGTTTCTATTTTCTATCATGGTGTGTGCACACAATGGTATGAGTTAACCACCCTTGACTTCTTTATGCTACTTACTCGTTCAGTGCTTTTTATGATGCCAAAAGGGGGAAAATTTAATTGAATAATAAAGAGCATAAAAGAATAATAATTTGAAGGGGGAGAAATACAGATTCTGGAGGAACTCATAGAGGTTCAGGTACTGATTAAGGGGGGATGCAAAGATTCAGGGGGAAACTTAAGGTCTTTCTGGCTCGTAGTCTGGTTCTATGTGGTTCTTTTTAGGATTTTCAGTTATGAGTTTGTCATTATTAGAAAGGGGAAATTGATAGGTTACAAATACTTTGGTCATTAGTACTTTACTTTATGTTTTGATGATCTAACAAACTTACTATCCAGAACTATATAAGGAACCTTTTACACATTTACCAGACCTTAAGATCACAAGGTTCTAGGTTAGGATTCAGCGCGGAATATGATTCAACTCATCGAAGTGGAAGGAACTGCTGAGGGAATAGGTCTCTACCAGTTCCCAAGGAAACTATACGAAGTCGGCTCTCCAGCTGGAAAGTCGCTTCCTGCATACGCTACAGTGCAGGAATAGTGCTGCAGTCAACTTTTCAGGGAAGAATTTCTACCTATCTTGTTAACATTATTGTAAGTGATGTCACTCATGTATATATACAATCAAGGAAGGTAAAACACATTTACTTGAACACTTAGAGATTTTTTACTCAAGCTCACTCATGTGACCATCCAGCTAGAAAGTTTCAAGTGCTTCAAGAATAAAGAAAAAAGCAAGTAAGAACCAGTTCCCACATCTAGTAATTGTATGTCATTAGTTAAGTTATAACTTTGTAATAGTTCTTCAATTGTAATTCCCTGCCTAGCTTATTTAGAAGCATTCTGTAGGAAACTCTTTGTAAACCATAAATCTATATGTTTGAGTCTTGGCTAAAGTTAGTCATATTGTAACGTCTTTGTAATAGAGTTATTATAAAGTTGCTTGTAATAGAGTATTACAAGTTAGTGAGGGATTAAGAGGTTAATTCCTAGGTTGCATAGGTTGTAATCTAAAAGGTTGAACAGTAGTGAAGGTGAAATCCTGCAAGGGTAGGTCGCGGTTTTTAATCCCGTTGAGCTGGAAATTTTTCACATAAAATTCCTCATGTCATTTATTTATTGTCGTGTGTGTGTGTACTGTTGAATCTGATAGAGAACTTGGTTCTTTATAGAGTTTGGTGGACCCTTATATTCTATCAATTGATATTAGAGCAGGTTTTTTCTATCATGTTAACATCTAGAAATGATCCTCATGGATGCTCCTCTAAACTTCGAAGAATGCCAGTCTACTTACAGACTTCAAAGATTCAACGGGAAATATTATGGATGGTGGAAAAATAGGATGCACGACTTCATCATGGCTGAGAATTCTGAGCTATGGGATGTTATATGTGATGGACCTTTTGTCCCTAGCCAGAACCTTAGCGAATTAGGTGTAGTCATTCCCAAGACCAGGAAGGAATTCAATGACGCTGATAGAAAGTTCATAGAGATCTGGGAAAACAATAGGATATCAACATGTCAATTAGCAAAAGAGATCTGGGAGGCTCTTCAGACAGCTCACAAGGGAACAACTCAGGTGAAACAATCCAAGATTGATATGCTCACAACTGAATATGAGCTCTTCAAAATGGAAGATGATGAATCCATTCAAGATATGTACACACAATTCACCTCCATCATTAATGAGCTTTACTCTCTTGGTGAAAGTATTTTGAGAAACAAACTTGTTAGAAAAATCCTTAATATACTGCCCAGTTCTTGGGAAAGCAAATTTAGCGCCATTACAAAAGCTAAGGACTTGCAAACACTGGCCACGGATGAACTTGTTGGAAACTTGAAAACTTATGAGATGAAGAAGAAGAAGGACAATGAAAGAAGAGAGCCCAATAGGGAAAAGAACCTGGTCCTCAAGACAAATAGCAATGACTCAAGTGGTGAAGACGAGGACATGGCCTACTTGACAAGAAAATTTCAGAAGATAGTTCGCAGGAATGGAGCCATTCCAAAAAGGGGAAGTTCTAGGAAGCCAAGAAATTATGACCTCTATTATAAATGTGGCAAGCCAGGGCACTTCATCAAGGATTGCCCCAGCTAAAGCAAGATCAGTACAATAACAACCTTGATAAAGCAGCCAAAAGGAACCAGGTTCCTGACAAACACTTCAAGAGGAAAAATGATGCTAACAATAGTATAAAACAAGCTCTTGTTGCATGGGGAGAATCCTCTAGCGAATATGAAGAAGAAAATACTAGTTCAATGATGGTAGTGGAAACTGAAACAACTAAGTATGATTCACTCTTTGCTCTAATGACTCGATCTGATGACGATGAAGATGACGATGGCGATGAGGTAAACTTTTTGGATGTTCAAAGAAATCTGAAATCGTACTCTCCTAAAAAGCTCAGTCATTAGAAAATGTACTAATTGATTCATACCATAGTCACATCAATGATAAAGATGCATTAACTATGGAAATAGGTAAAGCTGAACAAACCAGAGATGGCTTAGTAGTCATTGTAGTCGATTTGAAAAAAATCAATAGAGAACCTGAAAAAAGAAAAGAATGCCTTGGAAGAGAAAATGATGATATAATGGTTGTTGTAGTGGACTTAAAAGAAACCATTGAGTGTGCAAGTAAAGAAAAAGAAACCTTGACTGAGAGAGTTGCTATCATTGAGCAAGAGGGAGATGACCTAGTAGTGATGGTAGTAGACTTGAAAGAAAAATTGAGGAATTTAAAATGGTAAATAGGCCTAGAAACTCATAAAAAGGAAAGGAAGTCGCAAGTAAGGCACTCATTAAGCTTGAAAATGAGTTGTATTTGGTGAAGACTAGTCTGTGTGTTGAGCTTGAGAAAAACAAATAGCTTCAGGATGAACTAGGGAAGGTAAAGGGTGACCTTGAAAAATTGCTTAAGTAGACCTGGTCCTCCGATGCTATCACTGCCATGTATACCAATAGAAGGGGAAACAAGCAGGGATTGGGTTTCAAAGGGAAAAGATTCCCTACAATCCTCATAGCAAGTACATTATTGTAATCGACAACTAGCTATGTACCCACTGTGGTAACAATGGGCACCTCAAGGAAAACTGCATAGCCAGGGTTCAATCTCATCAGAAAAATAAAATCTTTGCTAAGAGAGTAACTACTGCCAGAGGACCTGGTCCATCAAATAGGTTACGCATTTTGTCTACTTGGACTAGAGAACACTCATTCATCCTTTCTCTCTTAGCAAGGAACCCAAACTCGTTTAGGTTCCTATTCAAACCCTTGATTTCTTTTTGCAGGTAGCAGTGAAGGTGAGCAGCCAACAATGACATATGGACAACAACTGCTCAAAGCACGTGACTGAAAATACGATTAAATTCCTTCACTAAAAAGTCGTGCAAGGAGAGAGTGTATCCTTTTGAAAATAGCTAAAAGGGGTACACTTTAGGAGTTGGAAGATATGTGACAAGGGAAACAAAGTGGAATTCTTGTCCAGGATATGCACAACCTCAAATCCTATGACTGGTGAGGTGATGATGTTGCCAAAAGATACAAGAATACTAATGGTGTTGTGTTTGATCCTCTGCAGAACCGTGATATAAGTTGGATAAGAGTTGTTGAAAACAATGCTGAACTATGGGATAGAAGGCCGAGATATGAAAGTACTTTATCATTGAATAAACTGGCCTTGAAGGACCTAGTTCGTGATCTGACAAAGTTGAGTATCAAGGAACACAAAGTGTGCAATGCCCGTGCAAAAGGAAAGTATGTCAGATCTCCATTTAAGCCCAAAAAGGAAGAGGGGCAGTTAGCACCTCAAGGCTACTTAATCTTCCTCATATGGATCTGTGTGGAGTAGTGAGAGAGCCTAACAGGAAACAAAGAAGAATTATTCAACCTCTCAGCTCCAAGAACACCACAGCAAATGGAGTTGTGGAAAAGAAGAATAGGACTCTTGAAGATTGAGCACGGTCAATATTATTTGATAGAGGGATGCCAATTGCAAACATCTTGACCAAAGTCACTGACTCAATTGAGGATATCTATGTACAACTGTTATGCTCTCAACAGTAGGCAGGATTGACTTTGAAAATCTAGTGCTAAAAGAGATGGATGAATCCCCCTGATATACTCATCTCAATATAGAACATAAATACCGATCAAAGTGGAGAACGCTCATTATTTCTATCAAGGAACCTATTCCAACAATTACAACAACAGAAGCTGAAAATCGAGTTGTCAAAAAGGGTTTGACATGGAAGCATCACAAGTCATTAACACTCTCATTGCCATAGCTACACAACTAGACATGGATGAACCTGGTTCTCCTCTAAATCAAACCATGCACAGAGACATCACTGAATCACTCATGTATGTCACTACAAGTAGACTAGACATCGTGCTTAGAGTTGGGTTCTGTGCATGGTTTTAGTCAAATCCAAAGGATTCTCATCTGAAGGCTGGTGTAAGAATTTTGAGATACCTTAGACTAACCTAGTACCTGGCTCTCTACTATCCTTTAAGTAATGGATAGGAAAAGCTCGCCTGAAATGGGACATTCTCTAAGTTCCTGTCTTGTCTCATGAGGCTGAAGGAAGCAAAATTCAATGGCACTCTTAACAGCTGAAGTAGAATATGTATCATCAGCGTCCTACTTTGCTCAAATGTTGGGGACCAAGCAGCAAATTGGAAGAACTTAAGTCCAACTCAAGAGGGCCAAATACATTGATAACTGAAGATCAAGTTACAGATATCTTCACTAAAAGCCCTAGGAAGAAAACATTCTGACAAAAATCGCCTTGCACTAGGGGATGATAAAACCCAACTGACAACCTGGTTCCTCATGAAGGTTATGAAAGTCATAGTCAGGTAAACGTTAGCTAAAATATTTTCTGGCTAAGTATAACTCACCACTATACCCTTACAGGTCGACACGCATAATGACTACAAAAACAGATGAAGCAATGCATGATGAAAAACGTGTTAAACTCACTTGCCACACCTATCAACGAACCTGGTTTTCTTGACACATGTTATTAGCTTCTTTGTTATTTCATACAAAATTTAAAATGGTCAAAAACAATGCCACATCATCATCAACATGACGGTCTTTATATGTTGTGTCTTTTCATCCAAAGCGTCATACCTTTTTCTGAAAGATACAACTCCCCAAGCAAAAGGTTGCCGCCATTTCAGAACCGATCCCTCATCATAAATATATCAACATCACAACCCTTCTCTTCTAAAATAAAAAACTCCTCTTTTTCTTCTGTCATCTCAGTCCACAATCCATCGAGCACAATGTCACCATGTCTGAAAATTAAGCAACCTTCAGTATGCCTGACAATACTGTGATTAAGTCCACACCAGTCAGCATTCAAGAGGTAAACTCCTCCCCCAACACAATCACTAGTCCAAACCCTAAAGTAGAGTCTCCTCCACACTCCACTCCCTCTCCTACCCACTCCGATTCTATTCCTCATCTGAGCAAGGTTGAGAATGTTTTTCCTCCTCCAGTCAAGCAAAGTAAACAGTGTGAACAGGGTAAACAAAGGAAGCTTGTTCTTAAATCATCAACACTCTCCATGTTTGGGTACTCAAGGGAAAATCCAATAATTAGTCATGAGAAGACTGAGACAACCATAACAGACCACGATTCTACAGGTATCACTCTTTATTGTATTGAAATTTCCATGAAACCACAAGAAAGAGAGGAGATAGAAAATATGATTTCCATTACTTAAGAAGGGGTTTTTGTAGGGGGAAAAGCCTCCGTCCACAAAAGACCATGCAACACTTTTTCCTTTTGAAAAATCAACTCAAAATAACACTAATAGGGTCCCAAGTGATAAACCTGATCCCTCTGCGGAGAATCCAGGTCAGGGGTCATCTTCCTAGGCCAGTGTTGATCCTGCTCCTTCTTCCCACTTCTATGCTAAGATTCTAAATATGGTGGCAACTGAGACAAATTCTGACAGTGAAGAAGACGCAGATGATTTGGCATATGCTAGCTTTATCATGGCTAGAAGTAAGACAGTTGCAGATCTAGAGTCAACCCCTAAACGACCCATTACTCTATTACAGTAAAATGAGGCTCTGGAGTCTTCTCTCAAGAAAAGTAAAAGGAGCAAGAGAAAGAAAAGGATGGTAAATGATAAAAAAGGTTGTGCATGAGAATGTCGTCCCTATGGTAAATGTGGATGAGAAAGTTGAAGAGGACCTAATTACTTAACCCACAAGTTCTCGAAGTAAAAACACTCTCACTCTCAATCTATGAGGCACACTTCTACAAATGTTGAAGGTCCTTCCAACAATGCTAATGTTGCTTCCAGTGAAAAGCTGGTGAAACATTCTAGTGAAAGTAGTGAAAGAAAGTGGTGACAAGCCTGATGATGAAGAAGTGGAAAAATCTGGTGAACATATGCAGAAAAGGTCAGTGGAGAAGGGAAAGTCTGTTCGCAAGTCAGTAAAAAGAAAAATGGATGATGATGAGGAACCTGGTTCCATCAAGAAATCAAAAGTTAGTGAGTCTCTTAGTTCTGAGAAATGGAGGTTGAGAAATCAGAAAGTATTGTGGGGCCGCACATTTGCCTCTGACATTCTAGAACTTGCTGGGATGGGACAATTAGTAGACATTTGTGATTCTCAATAATGAACCAATCTCTTTAGAAATGAGGTTAACAAAGTTTATAAAGAGGAGGTATGAAGTTTCTACACTAGCGTCTTCACAGTAGAGGGTGATCATATCTGTGTGTTGATAAATGGGGTGGACATAGTAATGGAATCTGCCTTATTGGGGTTAATTCTGGGTGTTCCTGCCAAACGATTGTCGTCTACTCAGGGTGCCTGCACATCAAACTTCAGAAATGCCATTGTCAAGGGAAAGGCAATACAACATAGGGAACATGTGCATAAGAAGGCACTCCTTCCAGTATATCAGTTGTTTTTTGAGATGGTTAACAAAGTACTTATTTTCCGTGCTGAGACAAGATCTATTGCATCCAAAGCTCATTGTTCCTTATGGAAGCCTTGGATAATTTTACCTTCATCAATTTGCATGCCATAATGATTGAGCATATGCAAAAGATAGAAAACCTTAAGGATGGGAATCCTGGACTACTTTATGGTTTTCTTCTTACAAAAGTCTTTGAGTTCTTCAAAGTATCTCTGGGACATGCCAAAGTAGGCACTAAAAAGTAATCCTTTTTAAAAACTACTCTTGAGGAGTGTTAGTGCATTGACAAGGTCGAAGGAGTTGGAAGCACTTCCACTATCTCTCAACTGATAAATGTTCAAAACAGTGCCACAGAGGAGATCTGGAAGTTGAAGGCTAGGAATACAATTCTTGAGGGTCAGGTCAGTCAGTTACAAGAGGCACCTGGTTCTAGTAGTTCTCATAGCTCAGAAGTTGCACGCCTAACAAAGGAGAATGCTGAACTCAGGAAATCGGTGGAGGACCTGAAAGAAAGATTGCTCAATGGTAAAATATCCGCGAATGCTCGCATGGATCTTTTTCACCAAACCCTTGCTGCCTCGATTCAAGCCTAAGTTTCAAAAAATCTTTCGAATTCCGCTTTTGATCAAAAACCCAAACACACCACGTCCGAATGAAATAAAATTTTGCACACATATCCCAAATGACATAACAGAGCTACTAAAACTCTCAAAATTCCATTTCAACCCCTGGATCAAAATCTCACCTACCAATCGGAAATCGCCAAAAATCCATTTTCGCCAATTCAGTCCTAAATCTACTCCGGAACTCCAAAACTCATTCTGATCACGCTCATAAGTCCCAAATCACCTCCGGAAGCTAAACGAACAATTGGAACTCACATCTGAGCCCTCTAACACATAAGTCAAAATTTGGTTGACTTTTCTAACTTAACCTTCCTTAAAAGAGACTAAGTGTCTCAAACCTTACCGAATCCTTTCCAAACCCTAACCAACCAACCCAATCATATATAGAACCATTATACAAAGCAATTAGAAGCATAAATGGGGGAAATGGAGCAGTAAATCATGAGACGACAGGCTGGGTCATCACAGAAAGATGGTCCTTTCTTGGCCAACCAGGGAAGAGTCTTGGTGGTTCATTTTGTTGTCATTTCTGTTGTCCGGGTTATTTCGCAACTGTAATTAGGATATTGCCTTGTGCCTCAAACCCTTCTATCCTTTTTACTTTGCCTAGTTCCTTTAGTCCTAGCAACTCATTTAGTGTTATCTAGGTTTGTTCTAGGGTTGTACCCCAGTTTATTTTACTTGTTTTTTAGTTCAAACCCTTTCACCATCTGTATAATGCAGTTTCCCGTTTTCTGTTATTTCTATTTAGTGTTTGTTTAGTTCTCTTTCCCTTTTATACTTCTTTTTCTACTGGCTCTAGTGACATGAAATGCATGCGTAATTCTCAACCTGGTCTTAAAAGTTAGTTTAATCAGGAAGCAATGAAACAATTTTGAAGATGATAGGGACACTTGAGGGAAGTAAGTACAGATTTAAACATTTTGAGATCATTTGAAGCCCGAACCTTGTGAAACTAGGGTAGATGATTTGGGAAGTTAATAGGGTGACAAGAATTCGTTAAAGGAGAGTGCATCCCGGACAATTTGAAGCAAACAACTTTGAGTTCAAGTGCACCTCAAGTAACAAGATAAAGTCAAGGAAGTTTTCTCCGAATTGACGGAGGATATCCATTGTGAAAAGGGTTCTGTACTTGACAAGGAGCTAAAGAGAAATGGAATGCATATCAGTAATATTAATGTCGATGCTGCAAAAGAAATATTGTGCATGATCTTCAATTTTCATCTCAAGTTGTATGAGTTGTACTTGGCATTTCCAGGGATTGGGAGGCCCTCCTTC